TGCTTACTGGGACATTTGGAGATAATGGAGCCATTGTTGTAGTGACACCTGTGCTTTTTTTTCTATTTTTCTATTCTGTACACAAGGTGTTATTTATAACTGACTGTGAATGTATGTAAACCTCCCTAAATAGGCAACAGGGCCCAAACAGCTGTTTTTCGTTTTATTTTTGTATGTTTTTCTTCTGAAACGGTCTGCTTCTGACCTAAACCTCAGCCAGGATACAGTCCCAAGTGACATGGTATATACTCAAATATATTTCACTTCTGCCAACAGCCTACACATAGCCTAATTTCTCAATGTGATTCCGTCAATAGGCCCATTAGTAAAATACTTGTATTTCAACCAACCTGCCTTCGTGGAGGCATTTTAAAAGGCTGGAGGTGACTGTTTGTTATACTTGTTCAATAATTAAAAAAAAAAACTTTTTTTGTCAGCTTGTAATTCCAGGGTTGCCAGGTTGGTAGTGTTTTGTTGCGGAAGAAGGATGCTCCTTTACAAACCTGGCAACGTTGACTATGCGCTGGATACAGCAGACAGTATGGCGGACAGCGAAAGTGATTTGGAAACAGACGGGCTTGAATTAGCTCTGGACACACTGTGTAACAGACACTGCAGCGACGAGTCGTCTCTGAGGAGCAAAAGCTATTGCTCTGAGTTTTGTGAGGTATGTTGGACTCCATCTTTGAATGCTCAACCTGGTCGGTGTGTGTTTATTGCTAACGCTGCTAGCATCGCTGGCTAACGATAGCCTCCAGACTTAGCTCTATTTATGCAGTTGTGTAGCCAAGACTGTGGCAGAGCCCGTCGGAAAACACAACTGGCTGCCACAGTGGTTGCTAAAATGTAGATTCGTACATAATGTGCTCCTGCCCAGGTAACTTCTTGTAGTTACTGTGCGAGATATCTGCTGGATAGCTTCACAGTTAAGCTAAGCTAACGATGTGAGGTTAATGTGGGTTAACATGCGAGCTGTGCTGGTCGAAACTAATGGTTGTTATTAATACTTTGTTTGAAGGATTAAAGAACACATTACATAGCCTGTTCTCAAATGCCAGCAGAGATGAAACGCCAAGTTAGGTAATTAATACAAAAAGATTTAACTACAGTCACCGATAGGCAAGTTAGATGTTTTTGTTGTTTTTTTTTTGTAATGTTTTAGCAGTAACATTAGTTAAAGGTGAAGACTGAAATCGTTGAAGTCAAACATTAGTCTGAAATCACACCTGCCTTGTTCAGAAGAAATACTGATTAAGGCTATTCCTCTTACTCCATCTGCATTAACGTGACTACACTATCCACAATCACTTAAGTTTGTTTGTCCCACCTTTCGGAGAGGTGTCTGTTACCATGGAGATGTCAATAACAACACAGCAATAGCACGATGAACTGTGAGATATTTAGTTAAACACAGATATGAAATGATTTGTGCAAAGGGGATATTATAATATTATTATAATAGTGTTCCAATAAACATTAATTTAACTCAACCTGTTTAAGTATTTTCTTATTTAATGTTTCTGATGTAATTACGTACGTTAGGTGCTTGTGATGTACCACACACCCAAATAATTGTGTGTTTTTGTCTACTTGTTGAGGCCAATCAATACAAATCTCCCAAACTAATACTTTTATTAACTTTTGAAGGCAGCACATCATTTACAGTCGGGCTAAAACAGGACTTGGATAAATGGTTGGGTGGTTTAGTGTTTCCAATTTCCACTGCCTTAACATTGAATTATACTGACATGATGGTTATCGTGATAGCAAACAGTCAACACAAATAGTGGCCTCTTAATTAGGTCCAATAGGGATTTCATACTTTTAAATACTACTCCCCCCCTCTGTTCCCTCTGTAATAAAATACATCCAATCTGAATAGTCTGGTTTTCTGACCACCACTAAATGAGCATAGTTTTAGTAGAGGTTAACTGTTGGCTGTAATTTCAAATTGCAATAATAACAATATTTACATTTTCCTTTTTATCAGATGGTAGATTACCCACTAATATGTAATGCAATCCAAGCAGTGATTCCTTTAGTATATTAAGCTACAATAGACTAAAATGCATTTCAGGCACATGATGTGATTAAATGTTGTTAGTTCCAATATAAGTTATTTGTCTCCATTGAAAACCCCTACCTCTCTGTACTTACAAGTAAACATACTCAAGCACACTGAAATAAACCATGTATGAATGTGCCCAATGTTTCACTGGATTGACTATAAATGTTATGACCAAATGTTTTAATGTCTTTGTGTTATTCTACATTTCTGTTCTTCCTGCACAGTTGGTAGAGGAGTACACGGGGCAATGGCAAGTTCCTCTCCCTCAACTGAAGGTGCTGTGGACTGCACTGTGCAGTTTCACCAAAGCAACCAAAGCTTTCCCTGATGACTGTCAGCACATCCACTACGTTCTCAGCAGTCTGGCCTTGTAAGAAGTTCTATTACTTGGAAATGTAATATTGTCTTTGTTGACGAACAAACATACTGTATTTCCCACTCTTATTTCAGTAATTGTTGCCAGAATAAATTAATCTTTTAATTTTGATGTTGACCGGCATTTGATTGGCAAACATATTTAAGTAACTAGTTGATTAATATTTCCCATCCCTGATTGTCTTACAGCTCTACAGCATTGACTTTCTACAATAATTGAGAGAAAATGAAAAGGGCACATCAGTGTTTAAGAGTGTCATAAGCGTTTACATTAGTAGACAGTGAGGTTCCAACAGAAAAATACTAAACCATATACCGCCCAGAACATGGCAGCCTTGTTTGCATGTTGTCAATGGCAATGCTAGAGCTTACCTTTTTTTTTTTTTTTGTTAAAAACTACTGGAACTAAAACTAAAGCTTTTTTTACTTTAATGAGCTACTAAATAGTGGCACATTTACTGATAAAGATGTTGTCTCACCATCCTCTCATTGTCTTTCAGGAGCTTCTTTGAACTGATGCTGTTTTTTAGCAAAGAAGAATTTGTGGAAAAGCCTTTAAAAGACATCCTTGATTCCTTTCAGGTGACAAAAACTGACCCACTGTCTCTGTTTTCTTATCCACACAACACACTTTCATAAGGCCCAGCTGCTGGACCTGCCACTAGTTAGCTGTTAGTGTTAAGTACAAGTTATGCTTCGGTCCCACTACATGACCTTCAAAGTCTTCAGATAAAGATAAACTGTATTTTGTCCAACATTTATATTTTGTTGCCTCAACTCGCTCAGCCTCTGTTAAAGCTGCGATCTTTTAATCAATTATGTACCCATGTGTCCTCAAAGTCATTGTTGTGATTTAGCTGTCACAAAACATCTTCCAGAAAATTTTAATGAAGCCATTTTTACCACTCTTTGCAGGAGTGCCACTCTCAGCTCCTGCGGCACAGGAACATCTACCTTCAGCATGTGAAGCTGATCATCAAAGCAGGAGGCCCATGGGAGAATCCAGTGCTGCAAGGAATCCTGAAGGAGGCAGACTTGCCACCAAAAGAGGGTAGGCTCAGGACCATATCTAACAGCTGATACACACGCGTACACACAGAGAACACCGCATTGAGAGAGTGTGACACGTTGTGTTCTAGCTTCTCCTTCCTGTCAGTCATACATTAATCACAATCACACTCAGCTGCTGCTCTTTTCTATGGATTTGGATGGATGTCATCTCAATAACTGCTGAATGCAGATCCCAAGTACAAAATCACTCCAGAACAGATGGTGTCAGGGTAGTAGAATATATTAGAGGCTTAGCTTTGCTGCACATCAGTTTCAGAATGATGTAGCAGATTTTTTCCCCATATCCTTTTATTCCTATTTTTAAAAACTTCTCTGAGATCATTGATCATTCTCCAAATTTGGGTTGCAGGCTTTCTCGGCTGTCATGGCTAAAAGCTATCAAAATATTTGGTAACATTTTATGTTGATAGTCACTGTTTGTCACATTTCAAAGGCTTATTAGTTGAGATACAACAATCGTTTCCTGATTTTTACATAAATGTGGCTAAAGTTTGCAAAGGTTTAGGACAAAAAAACAAGTAGCAGATTGTATGATGCTTCTTAAAATGATGTTAATGTTATGCCTAAACAATAAACCAGTACCTAAAAATGTGCAATACATGAAACACTTTGCCATTATATCAGAGACCAGAAAACACATGGGCTAGTATAGATTTCTAATGACACCAACATCAGTGTTACACTATTCGACAATACCTCACACTTTAAATATCCCCATATCATATACATTAACACATGCAATTTCCTCCTATGCAGTTGAAGACTACTTAAGCTCAGAGTTGCCAGTGTTCTTTGAGCTGCGGGTTCGCTATCTGCAGGCCTGTGAAAGAATTCAAGAGGCGAAGGCCCTGGCGAAATGTTGCCTGGAAAATCGCGACGCTGGAAAGCATCTGTACTTCCACCAGGCCTACCTGACATGCCTCTACAAGGCCTCACTGCATGAACACCTTCACAAAGAGGTAAGAGACAAAGAGGCAAATAATAGGTTTGCCCCTTCAGATGGCAGAGATGGGGTTGGTAGTCAAGAAAAATAAACACTGTAGTTACATAAGTCAAACTGGAAAATTAATTCCATGCTCTCTGAAGATTTGACTATGATATTAATACTCAAATATATAAATAAACCAGTAATAATTTAATAAATGATTAAAACTCAACTCATTATGATTCTATATTTAATGATTATGAATGGACCCTGTAATTACCAGCAGCCATTTGAGCTGATTATTCTTGTATTTCTGGTATCACTTCTTCATTGTAATGTATTTTGAATTACTTTGTATTTGGTGTATTTTTGATGCATGTGTCTCATTCTACATTTCTTATTCCTCAGATGGCAGAAATAGATGGCCGGGATGCAGTGGAGATCATCTGCAACACGGAGAGTGTTGAAAAAGATGAGCTTCTGTTGTCGCTGTGTAAAGCTTTCCTTACCCAGCAGCTACACAATGGAGACATGTATTACATCTGGTAAGAAAGACCTTCAGACCTGTACATCACACTACTACTACACTGAGCTATCCTCTCATGTTCTGTGAATTACCCAGTGTTTACTCAAGTGTATGAGGGCAGCTGTTGGCAGGGTGCACAGTTTAATTTATTTGGTTCATTACCCCCTTCTGTTTACTGACTTACTGAATTACAACAGTTGTTGCTTAATTAACATATAACTGAGCTACATGTCTTTGACTTTTCATCTGCTACCTCCTGCAGGGACCTGGTGTTTATCTGGAGCAGGTTGCATCTTAGGGCCCATCCCTCCAGACAAGGCTTCCTGGCTGAGTGCTTGCAGTTGGCTTCCTCTGCTACTAACGTCAGAGCCATCTTCCCCTTCATCAAACTGGTCACTACTGAGGTGCGACTGACATCACACCATCATCTTTTCCATTTTATGTTCCTCAGAACATACGATAATTAACAAATCTGAAACGTGTGTGAACAAACTGAAAACACTTCAATCTGACTAAATTATTACTCATGCCTCATACCTGAGGAGGACATAGTAGTACTGTTTAATTCTCCTACCTAGCATGTTGTCTTAATCATTAGTGTGTTTGTTTTTGGACAGCTGGGGCTTGAAGGAGTCCATGTCTGTGTGGAGCTTTGTGCCAGGGCCTTGCAGCTGTGTGACATGCAGGCTGACAGCGTTACCCGGTCCCTGGTCTGCAAGACCATCGCCTTCCTGCTGCCTCATGACCTGGAGATCTGTCGAGCATGTGCCCTACTGGTCTTCTGTCAGGAACGCAGCCTGGAAGCTTACCGAACTGTCTGCTTGCTTTACATGCATCCTGACCAGGAGCCGCATCCCCACAACAGTCCTGTCCGAACCAATGTTCGCTTCCATATTCTGCAGGTGGGAGGGGATGAAGAGGGGGATATATTTTATGATGTATATTGGATATAGCATCATGATTTGTGCCTAACATTGTTTTTTCATCTTTGTTTTTCAGATGCTCAAAGAGCGTCTGTGTTTTGACCCTGAGTTTTGGAACCTTCTAACCCTCAGGAACTATTGCTTGGAGTTAATGAGTGATAAGGTCATGAAGGCTGCTGTTCTCAGTGAGATGGAAGAGGAAAAGGAAATTGAAGAGCTCTTAATAAATAATTGTGGGAATCACTCATGCTCTCAAGGTTTAAATTCCTGCCAGTGCACTCAAGTTGCATTTGTGAACCAAGACCTCTCAGAAGAGCAGACTGCGGATGGAGTGACAGACAAGAGTGTTGCCCCATCAAATAATGCTCTTCTGAAGACAAGAAAATGGAGGAGAGGATTGCAAAGGAAAAAACACTCTAAGTCTGACGTTGAGGTCGACCTTGTTGATGATCCAGAGATCAAATACAATCTCAAATCCACCTCTTTAGGCAATAAGCCTGTGTATTCACTAAGACGCAATCACACTAACATAGAAAAATCTTCTTCTGTAAAACCCCCTCTAAACCGCAAGAGAGAATACTTGTCTAGATGTGTAAAGAGCCAAATTTTCAAAAGGAAAGGTCGGAAGAAGAGATGGTTGCAGGGTCTTCCAATGCTGGAGCAGGTGCAGACAGTTAAAGAGAAGAAGGTCAAAGTTAAAGGGAAAAAACGAGGACGGAAGCCTTTACCAAAACTGGAACTCTCCTACCCTGATAATGAAATATCCCTTTCAGAGGAGGAGTCTGGTTATGAGGAGATGACTGACACAGAGGACAAAGAGCTTGATATGCCTCACTTGGAGAATGAACTTAAACAAGAGTATGAACAGAACGAGATCAAACATGAGCAGATGGCTGATCTTGAGAAGGAAAATGGACTTGAAGAACATACTGACTTTGTCTGTGGTAGCACCCTAGAGGGATCTCAAACACAGTTTGGTTATTCACTTGGTGAGGGTCCTCCTAGGGAGCCTCAAGCTGCTGTTCCTGCTGTTGATGCTGATCCTGAGCTTGATGGTCCACCCTTAGAGTTGTTGGATTGTCCAATAGAACTGTTACACAGCTACTCTCTTAAATCCAAAAAGCCTGACGGCGAGAAAGTGCAACCTCCTGAATCCTCCGAATCAGAGGGGCTGAATGGCGATACAGAACAGGAGCCCCAACCCACGGTTGAAACAGAAGTGTCAAAAACAGAGGTCAGTTGTTTGTAATTACCCTACCAGGAATTCCATATTGTAGGTTTATAATTACTGGTCACATGTTTTCCAAATCAGTGTGTTTATCTTACTTGTTAGATGATGTATTAGCAACATTTTGCTGTGAATAAACTATGTTGCAGTAGAATGGGAAAACTGTTATTCAGGAAAAATACTTACCTAATATTGACATGTATTGACACTGCATATCAATAAGAAAAATAGAAATACATGAGGGGGTTCAGTTGCCTACTACTACTACAGTTGCTGACTTTCTGTTGACCTCATAGCACTGATTTCTGTGGTTTGTTGTCTTTTCTCCAGGTGATAGCCAAGAGGACGTGGAAGGACAGAGTACTCCGTACTCAAAAATATGCTCACTTGATGCACCACTGCAACTTCTGCCGCAAAGACTATAAAGGCTTGAATGTTATGAGGCATGCTCTCTCGCACCTTAAGAGCAGGAAACTAAGATGTATACTCTGTGGAAAACGCTTTAAACAACTTCCTTTTGCCAAAAAGCACATTCTAGACCACATTGATGAAATGTGCAAGCAGAAACCCCCTGAAAAGGAGCCGTGCTCTGTGAACACGCCAGCTGCTAATGGAATAGTAGATAATGTAAAAAATGAGAGCCAGCCTCAGGATGAAAATCCAACTCCCATTTCGGATGAGGAAACTCCTGAACAGAAACCCAGAGGAAAAACGAAAGTGTCAAGCCTCAAGAGGGAAGATCGTATAATCAGGAACCTCCGCACCCTCATCAAAAAGACATCTGTGCTTCACAAAAAGTGCAAGAACCCGAACGCAAATATATTCAAGCAGGTAGACTTCAAGGATGAGCAGGTAGTCATTAACAATGGCCTGGTGGTAGTAAGAGATCCATCTGTGACGGAGAATGAGGGAGAAGGAGAGAAGGCGGAGAGGCCAGCCGGAGAGAACGGCTTCGGTGTGAACATCACATATCACTTGTGCCCCTCAGAGTCCTGTGATAGAGTATTCTTGAGGATCAGCTCCACGCTAACAAAGCATGCTATCAAATGCCATATTAACGAAGAGAAAGTGCTGGAGAAGACGTTTGTTTGGGCCAAGCACAAGTGCTCTCTATGCTCCAGGTAAGACGGACAGTATATCGCGCATCACACACTTCTTTATGTAGAGTTTAATACAACACTTCACATTTGTCTGCGCTATTATTTAAAAAGTGTTTGACTATGCAGAGGTCTCAATATGATCTCAACAGTTGGTATCGCTGCAGATGAAGGGATTTTTTAACTGATTGGTATCGGCTATGTTGAGCTTTATTGATACGACACAGCCACGTTCAAGACACCACTGCAAGTGCAATAAAAGTCCCGCAAAACAAAAAGCCAGTAAGTGTTTGTAATCCACACAAAAGATGTAGAAAGGACAGAAATAAACAGTCAGCAGAAAACAGACCGTTCATTCAGGTAACTCTGAACTGCACTGAAGCAACAAACACTGGAAAGAGAAACTCCCTCCAGACAGCAACAAGACCAATAAGCTTACAGAGTTATTTTATACTTTTGTGTAAAAAACATGAAGGAACAGCTTCGATGCAAGGATTTTGTTTATTAATGCAATGCAATGCTATTTAATGAGCAAATTCATGTAGGTCAGATAATGTGGACCATGAAGGATGATGACGACACACCTTTAGAGATTAAAGCAGCATCTCCCGAAGATCCTCCTTTTATATTATTATTCTAAAGCTTTAAAGATTAACCAGTGGTGGATGTTTGTAAACTGCCAAAGGCAAATACAGGATCACATCACACATGGGTCTAGTTGTCTGCCAACTAGGGGTGTAACAATAGTTAGTAGTTCATACATAATAGTGTTCATCATTTGATTTTTAACAAACTTATAATAAACACAAGCTTACTGTACAAAACTTTAGGTGTCAAATGTGCAAGAATTGTTTTCAAATTTCACCATTCTCTTTGAACATTCAAAATAAGTTTTATTATTCAGTCTTGCTAAAGATTCTTTCCTGCAAATAATGTTTTTGAGTAGAGCTGATTGTGCTGACTGTGCTTTCTTCCAACAGGCAGTTACAGTTTCTCCCGCATTATAAGGACCACATGAAGCTCCACGATACTCCTCTCCAGCACTTCTGCTACCATCTGGAGTGTAACCAGCGCTTCTTGACTCTGCAGGAATTAAAGGACCATGTCAGCACCCACCAGCCCTTCAGACCTCAATGTCCATTCACAGACTGTGAGAAGCTATTCTCTAGCCTTCAAGGTCTCTATGACCATGAATGGAGACACTACATCCCAGTGCCTCAAAGAGAGGAGGTAGAGTTGGGACCCAGCAGACAGAAGGAAAATGCTGAAGCTCCGTGGAAGCAGAGAGTGAAAGTTGAGGAGATATGGCTGCAGAGTAAAAAGGGGCAAAGTCCCACCCTTGATTATGTTGAGGCCTCTAATCTTGAGGTTTCCAACGAAACTGAAGATCATCCTTGCGAAATGGACAGTAGTCAAGACCTGTCTAGATCTAATAATTGTTCAGAGAAAGCCGGCATCAACGGATATGAGGAGGATACAATCTCCACTTCCCATACTGGTGCCGCTGCAGCAACTTCAAGTAGGAAATGTCGAAAAAAGACGCCCGTGGAGTGGGACCCCTTGAATGTCCGAGACCTTGAGGATTTGTCCACTTTGTCTGAGGGAGTCCAGCAGAAACTGGGAGAGCCACACATTACTGAGCACAAAACCTTCAAACCTGAAGATCCCGCCTATGCGACTTTTGTCAAAGCCCCCTTTATTCGACCGCCCCCCTCCACCTACCTGGATGAATCTCTGCTCTCGATGCGGAAGAGGAGGTCCGTTGATGAGGCCACGCAGAGGAAAAATATTTACTGGAGCAATAAGAAAAAGATCGAGCCTGTCCCAGAAAAGGAGGAGCAGCAGAATAACGTTGTCCCCGATCAAAAGATCCGGTCTCGCTGTGACAAATGTCTTTCTTCCTTCAGCAGCTTAGAAGAATTACAGAAACACCAAGCCCTTAACACCTGCTCTGCACTCTTTGGCTTTGATTCTGACGATGAAAGTAAGTATGCTTGATTCACTGATTATTATAAAGTGTGTTTATATTTCTAACCCAATGGAACCATTCGATGATCTTTTTTTGTTGTTGTTATCTTTTTAGGTTAGTTGTAAGTGAAGAGGAGCTGTAACTGGAGTGACCATCGTACTCTGCCACCAGGCTCAGGGCAAACATTCAAGATGAAGGAACACTGGAATCCTTTAATACTCACATACAGCTCTTGGATACCAGTTTGTCAAAATGGTTAACTGGAGGATTTATTTGTCTCATACTTTAATTGATAGAACCTCTTTTGAAGCAATAATTTTTACAGCTAAAACTAGTTTTGAACATATTGTTTTTCCTCAAAGCATCATCAGTGTGCGTTTTGTCAAGGTTAATCAAATATCTGTGATAAATCCATATATTTTCTTAATCTATTATGGGGATTCACTGCTTAAAACAGCATTGGTTATGAGAACAAAGTTTTTCCAGCAGCTCTAAAAGTAATGCTCAAAAATTGCCTGGGAACTGAGAAACCAAACTTTGGCCCAAGACAATCTCCATGGAATAAAAAACACAGTAGTTCTCTGTATACAAATACTCAGTTATGTACTACATGCAAAATAACATGTGATCACAGTACTCTAACTTTAGAATACCACAGAATGCCAGTGTTTTAATGACAAACCTTTGCTGGACTCACCATGCTGTGGAAGTTAAAGTAACACATATGTAACGTTCAGGAAGAGGGTTGTTAATCTGCTATGGGAAAAGCTGCTGCTCATCCACATATTTGAATCTCTAAAACATCTTGAGGGAAGTAACTACACTTAAATTACTTCTGAAATCTTAACCAGGACTGAATACAAAGCAATGGAGAAACCCTTCAGTCCTTTTTGGCAAACTGCATCCCCATTAGAACTTGGTGGAAAAACAAATGACTTATCTAGAAGCCTTTTTCTTTAAACGGTGACTTGCTTTTTGGTTTTGTTTGTGTTTAAGTTGGACTGGTTGACACAAGTACATGTTCATTTGGGTTTTACACTGAAGCATTTAACAGTCAGGTAAAGTCAGCCTGAATGAGTGAAAAATTACATACAGTATTCAATTTGAACTCAATCATGCTTTTTCCTGGCTTTACTGAGCCTTTTTGGATCAGTTTGATTTAGACTCTATTTTAAAGTATTATATGTTTGGCCTTTTATGCCTTTATTTGATAGATAGCTGGAGACAGACAGGAAAGGAGGGCAGAGAGAGAGAGAGAGGACGACATGCAGCAAACCGCAGGTCGGACTCGACCCCGGGCCACTGCGTATATGGGTCGCCAGCTCTACCGACTGAGCTAACCGGGCGCCCAATTTAGACTCTATTTGAAGCACCAAATTGTTTACAGACATTATACACAAAGGGTCCCCCGACTATTTTCTTTCATGGCCAATTATTATGTTACACTCTAATGTCTTGCTAGCAACACTTGGTGGCACAGGGCCATCTTGCTCCCTTGCCCGTGGTGTTCAAAAGCTCATGGTTTGAAAGTCATATCATATTTTGTCCTACAAGTATGGATTTTACATGCACTACATCATATACTGTGTTTGCAACTCAATGAAATGTGAAAAATCAAGTTCCCATCAAGTGGAAAGATGAACTAAATGTGTTTTGCCCTCTCTGTTTCGCACATTTGTTTAATTATTGTAGTCTTCCAAATGAATTCTGCAACACTCTGAGCTTTCGGTCTTTTGTAGAGACGATGTAGAAAAAGTCTCACTGGAAATGACAAAAGAGGATATGTGGAGCTTGTGTCCCCTTTCCACATCTTTATACTGTTAAATTATGTGTTTTCAGCATAATTTATGTGGGCTGCTGTTTTTGTAGGTAAGCAGAATTGTCAGGATTAGATTTGCCTTTGCTAGGTAATCTCCTGGTCATGGTATGACAACATTAACATTCAACCCATGACCAAAATGTGTGAAACCATGTGAATCTGCCTTCATACTGTCACACTATTATTCTGTACAGTATATGAATTATTCACAATTTTACTAGTGCCAAGACTGAATCACAGTGTTAGACTGTAGGTAAAGATAAACATTAAAATCAGTAATTCAGTACCAGTTTGTAATGACAAGTTCAAAGTTCGATGTCATGTTTAACTCCATGACCATGTGTTTCATTATGTAGAATATTTCACATTGGTTGTTTATGTATATACTTTTGAGATGGTTGATCTGTTTTAATAACTTTTTAATGTAATGTTTTTATGGGACTGTGCACTTAAATCTGCTTATTTATATGTAAAAATGTTAATAGATTGGATTTGTAAAAGGTAATAATGATTCCCTATCTATTTTTTTTAAAGAAAGTGATGACATTTGTTTGAATAAACAAATTTAAACTAAAAGTCTGTTATAGGTTTGAAATATTTTTTGTTTGACATTATTCATATAAATAAACAAGTTGTTTTTATTAGTGTCATCTGCTTTAAAGCAGATATGTTGCATGCAGTGAGATAATACAGAAAAGGAGACAGCAGACAGACTCATAATATAGTTTATTTAGTTCGGCATTGCATATTTGCTATTCATAAACATATTGCTTCATTGTTAACCCCAGGAAAGAGGGAAATAGAATGATTATATTAGAATTAAAAAAGTTTTTGCATCACATTTTCCTGATACATGAGGTAATTTTGAAAAAAGGACAGGGATATAGTAAATAAAACCCTTTTGTTATGTCTGTTTTAGCCCACAAGTCCTCCCCTTGTGTTTTACGCTCAGTCACTCAATAATGGAGTTAAGTGTAGTAAAGCCAAGGGTGCACTTGTCACTGAAGGCATGTGCTAGCAGAAAAGGTCTATTGTTAAGACTGGGTGATGCAAATTTTTGTTGACAGATGGCTGGCTTTACATTATTGTGTTCTGATATTAAATGACACTTTATTTGTCTGACTGGGGGGTAAGTGTTAAGGTCCGCCTACGTCTTATGGCTGAGCTTACAGGCTAGAAACAAAAGCAGTGACAGAGGCAGTCCTGCTATAAGACCAGCATTCAAGATTGGATAGTTTTCCGGTATCTCAAGCCGCACATTCCAGTTTTAACACATGCAAATTTAACCATACGCTTTGGTGCTGCTTATATCTTAAAGACAAAGAAACTGACAGTTACAATAATGTGCGTGACAATGCCTTTGCAAAGGAATATGGACTATGCAGAATGAGCTGATATTTGTTAAGACTATACACAACATGCAGCATACAGTGCATTGATTGCATCAAAGAACTTAATGTTATTCCCACTCACATTTTCCTTTGACCTGAGATAAGAAAATCCTTGAATTATGGAAACAGAGAAAGCCCCAGAAATAGACTTTTTTTTCTAAGCCACACACTCGTTATAATCATATACAGTAATTATACTAAACTTTTAAGGCCAGGTAAAATGAAAAAAACAAACAATGAAGTTGAATTTTAAAAACAGTTTTGTAAGCAGAAACTCCACACACCAAAAACCTGCTAAACTAAATCAAATCAAGACTTAAACTGCTACATGACTTTGGATTCGAGTAATGAAAAATGTTTTCAAGTCTGAGAATTCTGTTCAGTTCCCGTGGATACCCTTGAATAAACAGCCAGATAAACACAGCCTATTCTATTCATATGGACCAGCAGTGACTCTGAAAAAAGTACAAATGTGTCTCAACAGCATTCAAAGTTGGCGATAAACATGCAAAGTGTCAAGAGTGCATCCCAAATGGGTGTAGTTTTGATAAATATTTCAATATTTCACAATATTACCATATCTTTTACTAAATAACTGTGTGAAAAAACACAGCAGTAGCACTTTTCCGATTGAAAATGGAAGACCTGGATCAAAATGAGGGGTGAAGTAAGTTCAGATAAAGAAAGGAGGACTCAAAATACGACAAGGGGTCGGAAATTTAAACGGATCAAAATATGGAAAAGTCTGAGCGCTGCATCTCTTTGTGCTCTCTAAACAAAGACAGTCATGTTTTTGTAATTCAGTGACTGGATCCTATAAAAAAGGATGCTGTCCACAAACATGGGGACTTCTGAGGACAGAGCAGCCTCATAGCCACCACACCACACTGCAGTTCCAGTCCAACCTATGCCAATCCTTTGGGTATATAATTGACATTACCAGCACCTAACCAGATTGTGTTTGTCCAATGAAAAACAGCTTGATAACTGGGTCATACTTGAAAAAGGAACATCAGCTTGTTTACCTCTGCAGGTAAAAAAAAAAAATTGGTGCTGAAATGATGGAGCAGCACTGTGGGGAATATACAGAATCTGCTGAACACGATGAGTAGGTTTGTAAGTTCAAAGGGTTTTGTTATGGCTTGTCAAGGCAGTGTGTTTGGATCAGCCAAGTTATCGTCTCCATCCGCTCTGATTAAATGCTCCACATAAATAGTCCAATGAGTGCTGTATTGGACAGAGAAGATTGTGATAATCTATAACTCCTGAGTTGCTGACATGGTGTTTAAAAACTAGGACTGAAGAAGAGGATGCAAGCCATATTAACAATTTGTTATATTATTATAATAATTATACAGTATGATGTTGTATTAGCTTTCTCTGAGAATTTACTCTAAATAATTTGGAAAATGTACACAGATTTTTAGGCTTTTGTCATTTTAAATGGGACAATAATAATGGAAGTCAACAGCACAACACACTTCCTGTTAATCCTGCTGCTGTATTACATTGTTTCTGTGTGCAACTTGATTTCTAAAATAAGCTCTCTGTTGTTATTACTTCAAACCAATAAAATTTGAATGTACAACTCATATGCAGTACATGACTTTCAAACATAGGGTGTAGGAGCTGACAATAGGACCATCAAGCTAAGATAAACCTACAAGAAAAATGTGATTCTATGATACAATGCAAAAACACTCCTCTCACTTGGATTTTGTTTTGCATAAAACATTTGCATGGTTGAGGACCAGTGGACTGTATTTGTCATCACCAACCTTCGGGTTTTTAAGTAGATGCAGCTGGACGTGTATGTATTTGTGTGTGCATGCTCAGTGGGAACTGTTGCTGCTCCAGTCATAAGGGAGGAAGCTGACTTTGGTCTTCCCAGCAGAAAGGACGCCCTGCAGGCTGGTCTTCTTCGGAGAGTCTCCCATGTGCTCCACCACCCACTTCAGCAGCTATGACAGAGACAAGATGGAAGAGAACACACGCAGTGAGGTTCATGCTTGGGTTAAGATTATTGGGTTAGAGTGTTTTTTTATTCTGATAATTCAGTGTCTCTATATGTACACAACAGGCAGCTGGGAGTCAAGATTACCTTCTCATCAGTGCCTCCGAAGTCAGCCTTGTACCACTTGAATATCTGACTGAGTCGCACTTCTCCTTTCCCAGAATCCACCATACAGCCGTCGTCATTCTCCAGGAAGGCTTCAGCCGCTATGCGGAGCTGGCTGTCAATGTCCTGATGGATCGGAATTGATTTCAGACCATTAAAGCTCTTAGTATTTACCAGATATGTTGTACAATGAATCCAGACAGTCCCCCAGTACATTCCAATGACTAAATAATGAATTAGTCACTAATTCATTTATATATTCAGCAGCTTTATTGATGAAAGACCATTATATGGCTGAGACAGCATTAAACACAGACAGCCGCACTGGCACATACGACAAGCCGATACAAGAGAGTTATACTGTCTTTCAACAAAACAAAAGAAACGTATTTATAAATCAACTTACCTGTGGAGTATATGTTTTAATCGGTGGGCAGCCCTTTGCGCCACAGTTCAAGGCAAAGTGAATGAGGGGCTCAGCATCTGGAAGGGCCACCTAGTGGACAACATGGGAAATTGAATTCAATGTCACCGTTATTTCACCTAAAACATTCTCATTGGTGAATCAGTAAAATGTTCAGCTGTGATTTAACAGAATGTCTCAATACTTGTAGTCGTGGGTCTTTTTTGGAGAAGGGCTTCAGAAGCTGTGCGACACCTTTTCTGTTCCCTCTCAGAACGCCGTTCTCAATGTCCTGTAATGTGAACACCTCTCCTCCAATGAGGTAGCTCACATAGTTGAAGAACTACAAAAGGCAAAAGAGACAAATGTTTTTAATAAATAATGTAATGTCCATTCCTGCTGGAATTAAAAATTAAGACCAAACAAGCTTAATGATTTCCTGAAAAATAAATTTTCTGATGCACAACACCTATACATAAAGACACCAGGAAATACTGTTGACAGGCTTAGGGCTTCCAGGAACACCTGTAAGGAAGCTCTATAGGGAGTGTGCAATATGGTAAAGACTAGGGTTATGAGTTTTTGGAGACAATGTAGCATTTTGAAGTGTCGCTGTGTGATCATACTCTGTATCTTTGCCACATGTTGGTGGGGGCCCCTAGGCGTAGGTACCCGTGGATGACCAAGGCGTTGTAGATGTTTATGAAGAAGGCCAGCTTCTCCTCCCGACTCAGCGAAAGCAGCTCCACCCTTTGCAGCTGAATGGCTAGCTCAGAGTAACGCTCAAAGGCAGGGTTCACCGACATGCCTTTGTAGTCCACAGACTGTGGGAGAAAGGACACAACGGTTAAAAACTAACCGAACATACAAACAAATGCGCTCGGCGCCAGAAGCCTTTCGAGTTAATAAGGACATTACCTTGCCATCAGCAGAGAGATGCTCGGAGAACAGTTTCAAAATCAGCTCCCGTAAAAGCAAAGAGAGCTCGGAAGCTGAGGGAGAAAGAGAAAGGGTAGGGGGCATGGTTAGTGTTTGATATGCTCAATAGCATTTTCTGGTGAGACAAACCAAACCAATATCTGAATGGTTAGAGAATTGATATACTAAAAGTAACTGTCAGCATTGTCCCAGAATCTTTATTGGACATATTTTTTTTTGTAATGTAAAAATCAACACAGTTCATAGCTGGATTTGTAAACATCAACAATGAGCTGGGACAGAATTTGGGGCGCTCTAATATAATCAGTAAGTGTATATTCAGAGTAGCTGTGAGATAAACCCGTGAAAAAAAAGAAGAACAAAATGCATAAAGATCAAGCTTACACTGGCGTTGTACAAATTAGATTATTATTAGCAAACATTGCCTTTGAGAAAAGAGCATTCCAGATAAATTGAAGAGAAAAACTGCCAAGCATAATAACACTTAGAAAAGCAGTGATTATAATCACCTCTGTGTTGTACAGCACGGATTAGCTTGTTGGTTAGCCTCTAGAGGTGTGCAACATTCAGTTATAAATACACCAATACAGAGCCAGGCAATATGTCTGAAGAACCATCACAGAACAGAAACCTTTTGAGAAGTATTAATCTGTCAAAAGAGGACACCAAACCCACAGAAAAGCAGAACATGACTTTGAAATAGGGCTTCAATGATATATATTGTCAGGCCAATTGATTCCGATAAACATTATAACAGAATTATTGGACTGAATTAACCACAATATTTCTTTCATACTGCATCATTTTTGACCAAAGCCTGCTCAAGATCCACTGTTAAGCTTTTTTCTGGAGTTTTAAACTGTATCTCTTGGCCTTCATCCACTCAGTTGTCTGAGCAAACTCCATCCACTGATAAAGACCATGAATTCCAGTTGAAAGCTCTGCAAAAAAGGTAGTAAGTGGACCTTGAGTTATGTGTTACTTGGTTTTTTGTTGAATGATCCGTCTTATTAATAAGAGGCCATTATGAGATATATCATTAACCCTTACTTCAGTTCTTACCACCACAAAGCTCACTGACATAATACACAAACCCAAGCAAACCCAAAAGGATCATATACCAAGCCAGCAGCAAAAAAAAAAAAAAAAGGAGAGGGGGTTAGAGAGCATTGGAGGACACTAGTCAGCGTGAACCTGGGATGCGATGTGTGTGTGCCCCAAAGCCTGGTCCAGTCCTGACCTACCCTGGATGGGACTGCAGGCTGCGGTCTGTCCTGCGTTGAGGGCTGAATGAGGGTCATGCTCCAGCAGCCTGTACAGTGTGTCCATGGTGTCTTTCCCTTCTCCAAAACTGCCATCCTGCTGCCCACAGCCACGTACACTGACCATGTACTTCTTCTGCAACAATGCTTGGCCAGTATTAAAGGCCTCAGCCCTGGCTGGCATACACATGGCCACAGTCAAGGGTTGACAGATCTGTATTTCACTAAACTTTCTTTGTTTGAATCAGGGCACTCTGAGATAGTTTAACAAGTCAAACTGACACAACACCGAAAGCCTGTTTTACTGCAGGTCTACAGCCTTACTTACCCATGCCCTTCTCTTTCTGCAGCCAGTCAACCAGTTGATCACCTGAGAAGCTCTTTTTGTATAATGTCAGTCCCCTCCTATGACTGCCAATCACATTGCCATGTTTGAAGTCCTCTACCAGGTCCGCCAACTCATCTCTCTCACACTTAAACTCTGTGAGGGCAGGAATATGCCAGGCCACACATGTACAAACACACATAAATGCACATGTTCACACACATACATGTGTAATAATATGTGGAGCTATGCAGTCCAGCAGCATGTGTGCAAAAAAAAAAAAAAAAACATATCGCGGTTGAAAAAGGACACATTCAGTCATAACTGTTCCTATTCAGCAATGAACTTTTTTTTTTTTTTTTTTTTACATTTTTCAGAAAGAACAACCAAATCAAATGAATAATCCATGAGCACAAATAAACAGAATGGCATTATGTTTTCCCCATTTTCACATGTTTGAGGGATGTCAAAGAAAATACAATGTTGTCCATCCAGACAAAACAGCATTAAATCCAAGTGGGTCATTTATATTAGATTGTTCATGGCCCGACAACATGAGTTGTTCGTTTATCACCACATCAATGCTGGGCTATACACACCTCATAGCAGCCAAAGCTGACAAGTATTGCTGAAATACTATCCAAAGTAGTGTAGTGTCTATCCAAAGCTAACTAACACTGTATTCAAATATTTCTCCACAAAAGGCTTTTAGATTGATGTTGTTTACACTGTAGGGAGCTTAATAATCGACTATAATGAGGTACTGTGAGACAGTCTGGTGCTGCTGGGCTCATCCAGAGTGTCCAGTATCCAATATTAGCAGGTGATGAGTAAAAACACACACACCTGCTGTTACCCATCACGTCTATATGTGCCAACACTAGTTGTAAACTATAGTTCATCAGAATCAATCCCTCGCATTAAAGAAGTTGGTGTTAGTTACTCAGTGTGGTTAATTTCACCTTTTGATAACCCATTTCTGAGCAAAACAACCTGAAATTGATCTTGTGTTCAAACTAATCCTCCAACATTAAGCAGTGTTTCCTCTATGTTGATTTTGGAGCTGCGGCCCGCCGCTGTTAAATTTCTGCCGCCACGGTATCAGAAATGGGGCAGACGCACAATGTAGTCACGGTTGCCTTTTAAATGATCCTGCGTATATGTCCCACACCCCCGGCTGGCGCCGCTCAGATTACGTGTACAACAGTAGAATATTCAGAAGTTATTGGGCTGTCCATTTAATCCATATACACAAAGCAGCACAAAAACGTCACGCGGTGGGTCGTTTTAATTGGACACTTTCAACTGTCATTTCAGCTAACGTCCTGATTCAAACATCTGGAAACATTAACGTTAAATTATATTTGTTTTGTGTTGCAGCGAAGTGTCAGTTCTGTTTCATACGTAAAACGTTTGCCGACGGGACGGGACGGGGGGGGTTGTTCGGACAGCTAAAACAAATCCTAGAGGAAACACTGATTAAGCAATTAATCCACCCTAAGGACAGAAAACACTGTACAATAGTTAAACACACCATGGACTGTGCATTAAGTTAAGTTAAGGCATTAAAGACTGCAGGATTTTACGCACCACATTTCTCATCTGTGATATAATTGGCTGTTCCTACATGTTGAGGTAGCAAAAGTGATGTGGAAAAAGCAAAAACTCTCACCTCCATCGGTCTCCCCTGCCGTGTCTTCTGATTGGTTCTCCTCTGGTAGTGGTGGAGCGTCTGCTGGAAGAGGCTCTTCCTTGACCAGATTCACCAACCTCTGAAGCTCCTCGGGAGCCTGAGGAAGTGAAACAGATACGCACACACACACATACAAGTTTAAAACACAAGTTTAAATAACAGTAGATGCAAATTGGATGTGTTTGGTGTTTTCTCTCCTCCTCACCAATTTCTGTAGGTCATCATTGCCCCCGACATGAATGTTGTTGAAGAAGATCTGAGGGACTGTGCTGCGTCCTGTCAGCTCCTTCACCCGGGCTCTTAGTTCTGGATGCCTCCCCACATCCACGTCACATACTGGTACTCCCAGACGCCCCAGGGTGGCCTTAGCCTGCACACAGTGTGGGCAGCCCTGGATGGAGTACACCGTTACTCGGCCCATAGGACTGCTCTCCCCCATCTGCAGCAATAATGGAAAGATAAGAGAGCAAAGAGTTTTAAGCTTCAGGTGTTCAGAGATAATTGGCTGAGGAGCACCGCGCTTTTCCAACGTTCTGTTTTACAGATGTGTACACACAAAAAAAACATTTCAGCCCTATTTTTTCCTCTTTCTGCTCTTGTCTAATGAGCAAATGGGGATTACACAGTAGGTGCTTTACCCAACATATCTTAACTATGTCAAGTCCATAATTAAACATGTATATTGGCCGGAATGAAGCCTTAAACTATTGCTCTTTTTACGGGTTAACAGCAGGCGATTTAACATGGTGATCTCTTATTATAAGGCTTTGTTCTTCATGTGTAAGCTATGGGTGTAGACGTGTTAAGTGCATAGTGTATTTGTGCATACATGTGAGATTACTTCACACGCAATAACATTACTCTTTTTCTACATTTAGAGGGGAGATCAGAGGAGAGGAGAGATAGTTTAAAAATTACGGTTTATTTCCATTTACTTCCTGAAAGAGAAGTTGTTTCTCTCTTACACACACACACACACACACACACACACAGTGGTGAAACTACTAACCATTAACCATTGAGTAAGATGAACTCATTCCAGTATGCACAAGGGTTGTGGGTTTGATTTATTTGTGCTTTGTGTTCCCTGAGGAAGGAGACAGTTCTTCAAATGCTTTTGCAAAGTGAAGGAATGAAATTGCTTTCCTCAACTTTGTGGACTTTGAGTGATATCTAAATCGTAGTTTAGAGTGATGTCCTCATGGCCTCTCCAGAGGTTTAAACCAGTAATCTCACCGTCCTTTATAACTTCTAGAGAGGTGATTATGAGGAAGCTCTTTTTGCCTGAATTGGGAAATAATTGCAGCAATTTCCTCCCAGCTCATTTCTGAACATTATCTCGTGTTGAAAGTCAGTGGGGTGTGTTTTTTCAACTGTGTGACATGTTAGTGACTGGTTTTGTATGAAGTTAGCCAATGACACAGTTTCTCATTAATTCTGGCACAACTTAATGCCAGCAGTCAGTCAATATTAGACTTGGCTTATCAAGAACTAGATTAAACCACACCTCATGTTTAGTTTGTAAAATTAGGTTAAGGTCCAAGGTTTTGTCTCGATTTCTAAATCAAGGGCAGTGACTTTGCAACAAAAATATACAACTGATTTAATACTGCGCTAAAGTAAGTGCAATCCTAATACCATAACTTCTTCCAAATTCAGCCCAATTGTAGAATGACACTTATTGTTTTAGGGTTGTATACCGTTTTAACAACAAAGGCTGCATCAACGTTAACTCAAATTAATATTAAAGTCGTATTTTATGGATTTTAACGAAGAATATGTTTGCATCTATAACTGAACATAAGCAAAGTAGCAATAACGAAATCATTACGCAACCCTTTTAGTGACATACGAATAACACTAACGCTATCAAACACTATTTAATTCAGGAATTGTGAAATGGCGTTAACAAGCTAACGTTAATGATAACAACGGTACGTTAACTTACCTCTCAGCGACTGACTCCCCTGTTTGACTCGGGGGTGTAATTTTAAATAGCTTTAATGGCTGATCCTCCTCAGTCCTGTTGATTAAAACATATTAGTTAATCCGTGTTGAGTAACGCCAGCTGAGAGGTCGCTTGTCTTGCAGGTAAATTACCCAGCTGGACTGACAGTACCTCATCACTGCGCAGGCTAGCTATATTAGCAGCGTTGGTTACGCGAAGCTATCTTGTCATATGATGCCTTCAGGTGCTGCTCGTAAACTACATGTCTAGCGCTGCTGAGTATAACGCACTGTCAGTGGCAACGTTAACATAATACCCCATAATCTCAATTACCATTATAAACCACATTGTATGTTTCTATAGCAACAGGGGACAGGCCGCAGCTGCCCACTTTCAAGTTATTTGGCCAATAAAATAGAGACTTAGAAAGCCAATTAACTTTAATTATCTTAAATGTACTATTCATATTATTAATTTTATTATTATTCATATTATTATAATTAGTAGTAGTAGTAGTTAGTACCATTCATTAGTTAGGGTTGTCTTCAACGTTTTTGAATTCAACAATGATTCCTATAGCCATGAAGGCAACACGGGCCCTGTTTTGGTGGATTCACTTGCTACTACAACTGTAGCAACCAACGGTTAGCAACCAACGGTTAGCAACCAACGGTCGCAACCGTGGCTTTGAGCGGAACGTTTGTCTTGCTCATACTGGTTCCGGTACGGACAGTTTCCCAGTAGGACACAAATAACGGAAGTGGAGCTTAGATATTTTTTGTTTTTGGGGCGTCGAAGATGTCAGGACTGTCAGAAAGAGAGCGCGCTGGATGCTTAAAGATACTGCAGCTCATGTCCAAAGACGACTTACTCTCACTTAGCGACACGGTCACCAATAAATTGATAGTTGTGGAAAATGCTACAGGTATGCTTTCAGTCTGCACCAGGTAACAGCAGAGGACGTTGGCTAAGATACCACTACCTTCGTTACACTTCCTCATAACCGACACACGTAATAAATTAATATATAAAACACATAAATATATCCATATTGCGTGAGTTAAACGTTTGTATGAGCGGTTATTAAAATATACACCAAACAGACGTGGAAAGTAGAGATAACGTTACACAACAATGCACACTTATTGCATAATATTACCATGAATGAAAAGCTGCTCAAATGATCTCATACGTTATGTTTGTCTTTTATCCAGAGGCTACGGAAACAATACTTTCCTTCACAAAAAACGCCGAAGAGCTCCTGAAAAGGAAGAAAGTCTATCGCGACCTCATATTCAAGTACCTGGCTAAAGAGGGTGTGGTGATGCCCCCGAACAGCGAGAAACACCAGCTGGTGAGGAGGACCCTGGAGCTTTGGTCGTCGGGGAAGGTAAGGGAAGGAAGTCAGCTCAGCCAGGTGAGAGGGTGAGCTAGGAGCAGATAGGCAGTAACATTAGAGAGGAGGTCAAACACACTTTAGTACCACCAGACTTCAGAGTAACTTCTTTACTCGGGCTGTGTGCCACCGAAAATCATCCTCAGCACTTCACCATGAAACGTTTTTATCACTTATTATTTACTGTTTATATATGTTTTGTCTTTATGAGAAGCATAAAAGGGACACATCCAACCCCTGTGTTGTAAAATACTAAAGAAATGAACCTTGTACTTGAAGGTTGCTTGAAATAATGTGAAATCCACAATTCCTTAAATCAAGTGCGATATAGTTTAGTGGTGTGATTGTTGGCTGATGACCGGTATCAAAGCATAAATGCCAAGACATTCTTACCGTTTAATTAGTGATTTAAAAAATAAAAGGATCCTTAAATTTGCCAATAGCATCACTAACAGGTGGACAAGCAAGATAACGTCCAGTTCATGCTGGCTGAGAATCTCTTGACTTAGTTGTAGCCTAGGGAGGAATATAAAGGGGGGTAGGGAGGATGGGTACCTGAGTTTGGGTTGATTATAATACATCCTGATACAAGGTGGAGCTGCCTAGTGTACAGTTTTTAGGTAGATTTACTAGTAGGTGCTAGTGTAATTAAGAAAATATATTGAGTGTTAATATGTACATACAATAATACGTTATTATATACAACATGTTAATACGATTAATATGATGACTCCTCCATAACATATTGATGTTTGATGTACATTTTTATATTAAACTTTCCCAGAACTTTAAGGATTATTTAAAAAAATTCTATCAGTTTTGGTCTTTAAACTCAAATGTAGGTGCCAGCTATTGCTACTTTACTAGTCAAGAGGCTTTCTCTACGAGGAGGAGATAACATTTTGACTTGTTGAACAACTAAAAACGTCTCATTCTTTTAAGGCGGGGGTTGACGAAAGCCTTCTAGGAGACACAGATGAGTCCGGACAGAGATCGTCAACAAAGATAGTATCTGATTCCACAAGCACGAAGGTTGAGGTTGGCTTTGACCCACAAGCCCTCGGCCAGCAGTTCTGCCAGTGGTTCTTCCAACTCCTAAACAGTCAGAATCCCTCGCTGGGCCAGCAGCCTCAGGACTGGGGGCCTCAACACTTCTGGCCAGATGTGAAGCTACGCCTTGTCTCCAGGTAAGGGTGCCATTAACAGTAACTGAAGTTAAGTTAGAAATTGACCTGTGTTTTACAGCAGTTACAATTAACGTGGGGGAAAATAACCCCAAAACGAAGCTGTGATGACAGATCTGCGTCTCTCTTTCTCAGAGCGGGCAGCGAACAGATGGAGGAGTTCCTGGGTGCTGAGCTGGTTAACCTTCGTCTCCTGGCCTTGACGAGGGACGAGCGCCTCCTCCTCAGCCCCAACCTGGACCCTCTTGGCCTCAAGGTCCTCGCCTCACCCCATGGCCTGGTATTGGTGGCTGTAGCTGGGACCATCCACAGAGACGGAGCCTGTCTGGGCATCTTTGAGCAGATATTTGGCCTCATCCGCTCCCCCCTGGAGAACAACAGCTGGAAGATAAAGTTTGTCAACATGAAGATTAGAGGACAAGACGCTCTGGGCGGGACAGAGGTGGCAGCGCCCGCTTTGAGTTACAACTCCACTGAATTGCAGCTTCTCTGCAGTTGATGACACTCGGTTTTTTTTTTACCCAGTAACTGTTTCATTGTCTCTCATCTAACTTGCCCAATCACCATTTTCCGTTCATCCTTTACAACCACCTTTACAGTTGTTTTCAGATATCGGATCTGGCAACTATAGTGGCACAAACCCCTCTCCTAACTTGTGTTTATCAGTCATGTCAAGGTGTACAGGTAGGTAGACACTGTTGCATATAAATCTACTTGGCAGGTTCATCATTGTCTTCGCTGCCATCGGTTGTGGAAACATTTTGCTTCAAATATACTTTACTTTGATGCTGAACAATTGCATGTGCCTTATGAGAAATTCAGTACAAATACAGACATGGATGGGTTCTTGTAAATATGTATGATATCAGATATAAATATTATATTAACATTTGTGTTCATGTGTGTTCCATAACGACAAGTAAGTCACGACTTATAAACAGATGAAATATTGGTTATTTTCATGCGACGAGACAGTCAGTCAATTAAAATTGATTTGGAACATTATCTCAGATTGCTGTGCTTTAATGGGATAAGTAAAGGTCAACCCATAATCTTTACAGCTGTATCTGATCGGCATTATGTCCTACAGGGTAATAAAGTGAGTGTAGTCATTGCAAAGGACTGTGGTGGACATCTTAATGTCAGATATTTAGGTAGCTAACGGATGGAGGAGTTCCTGGGTTGGTTCCTGAACTGGTTAGACTTTGTTTTGTTTGCCAGGGTCCCCGATCCTGGAGCCCCAAGGCCTGGTGCTGGTGGCTGTATCAAATGTACTGTATCTAAAATATCTAAAATGTGATATATGCTGTCTGTACTGCAGCATTTGGACTTTGATTTATTTCTATCATTGCAGCTTTATACAAGTTTATAGGTACACATTAAAATGCTGGGGGGTAAACACGTTAAAGGGCTACAATTCGTGCAATTTGGTGCACACTTATCTGTAAAATTGACAGCTGTTAATGAACTATACTACTATATTTGTGCTTTTTAAATTTCTAGTTTTATTAATGGCTTCAGTTACACAGACAATTTTGTGATGCTTCATTGATGATGACTGTATTTCATTTTGCTGAGTCACTTGTGTAGCACTATGATATTGTGGGCAAAATGTTGTCACATGAATTTACAGTGAGTTATCTTGTGATTCCCAGCAGTAGAGTAGAATAGCTGCCTCAATATAGAGGATAATGCTCATATTTTACATTTTGATAGCATAGTACACAGCTGTAGGGAGAATGACGGTGTTTATCCTGGTGCACAGTTTAATTTGGCACAAAAGTTGCGTGATGGATGTAAGAACGAGGACTACTCTGAATTACTTTAGTTGTTCATATGGAGTTCAGATATTGTGCAGTCCCATAGTGCAGAGCTACTAACTACTGTAGCATCGACTGATGCCGTGTTGCAGGCCCTAAAAAACTGTATAATCCAGATGAACAAATGCCTTTTTCTTTCACCAAACGTCAGTCCAAACGTTCCTCACATATAATAAGTCCATCTGGGTATTTCACAGCAAGAGAGATGTTTTTTTTATAGATTTTTATAGGCATAATGAATGAGTAGAATGTATTTTAATCATATTTATGTGTAATCTTTTTGCCAGCAGATGGCAATCGCGTGTGCATTGTGTACATACCATAGCCTAGCAGCTCTGTAAATGGCTCCTAAAATGAATGAAGATATAGTTTTAAGGCCAAAATTGATACATTTAGTATTGAATATTTTGTGCAAGTATTCAATATCCATAAATGTGACCATTCCCATGCCCTTTAAACAGTTTTCAAACTGGTGTGATTACAGACTCACATCCTCCCACAGTTTTTCGGGAATTGTTTCTCTGGGTGGTCAGACATCTGATATAAAATATAAACAAATTCACTAGCTGTGGTCTGGAAGAAAAAAAACTCACAATCACAATTTACATTTTACTTTTTTATCACATGCCAAGAAAGAAGACACCATGCAGATCCCTTCCTCCTCCTCATGCCTGAGACCAGTACAGGAGGTTCAGCCTCATGTGCTCTACAGGACATCAGGAGATTCAGAAGGCAGCAGAGGATCCAGCAGTCTTCATCATTAACACAGGACCTCAGTGTGCTATAAAACAGCTGAGCAACGATGAGAGGCCTTAACACACAGACAAAAGGTTTGAAAATACAGGATATATCCCCATAGCAGCTTTTCACTAACTGGTAGTTTTAGTTAAACACTAGCTGCACAATAGGCCACAGCATTTTCACAGATATGCTATTTGTTGTATTCCCCCAAATTACCTAATTAATCTACAATACGTTTCAAAACCTCCAGACTGACTCCTTCTTTACGTAGTGGACCTGGTTTTCTATTGATTCTGCTCTATCATCCTAGTCAGGGCACATAGGGTCTGGTAGGGCACAGATTATGCTAGTATGACTCTGTGGCTTTGGTGGGAAATGTTACATGTGGGAAATTATTCTTGGCAGCTGTTTTCAAAGGCCCCTGGAATAGTTAATATCTGTGACTGAATGGGTCGGAGCCGCATGGCCCTTTGTGCTTTACTGGGCCATAGTTGTGGTGAGGGGAAACCACTGCAGCCATTGATCTCAGCCTGTTCACCTCTCAGAAAGAATAATAACAAGCTGCTCGCCTTCTGTCTTTATGGCACTTGGCTTCTCTACGTTTTAATAAGCGGTTTGGCCACGGGCGCAGCTCTGACGCACGGGTTCAAAAATACCGCTGCAGTGGCGTCTGGTGATGGTTTTGACTCCGAGAGCCTTTTCTTTTTTTTCCATTTTTTCCCCCCTCTTCTAATAGGAAAGTGTGTTTCTCATAAGGAAACATGCTAAAACTTAGATCCATGGCTCTTTGAAATAGCTTATGGGTGGTGAACCATGGAGACTGCTGCTTTAATTGTGAATCCATTTTTTTCACCTTTTACTTTGATTGTGACTGATTGGATGTTAGGTTTGCTCTCAGAAAAAGCCCCATTAGTTATCAAAGATTACTTTATTATACGCTTCATGCTACAGCCATTTTTCACTTTCTGACAATCTGATGGCTTTACAGAACCATTAATGCCAAAGCGTATTTTTTTCAAATGCCTACAGCAGTAATTCTTAAAGTGGGGCCCAGGGACACCCAGGCTTTTCTCAGGGAGTCCTTAAAATGATCTCCTTATGCACTTTTTGGCAATAAGATTTGGATTGACACATATTTATACTAAATATTATGTCAATATTTATTTTCTTTTGGTCAGTGACAAGTCAATATGACTTGACCTCATGACAACATGAGACCAGAAGAGGGCAGACATGCTACACCAGAGAGAGTAAGGACTTTGATCCTTGGCCAAGGGAAGAGAGGGAGGGGAAAAAATCCTTTTAACACTATTACGTGAGGAAACTCATCAATTCCTTAGAGCAATCTGAGTGAGCTGATGTTACCAGGCAATTTCTATCTGGCCACAGCCATGAGGAAAACTGTAAATTTTTCGAGTTTGAATTGTCCTCCATTAAAGTAATGGGGTTCTAAAAGAGAGACACGTTAAACTGTTGCCTTTCATAGGCACGAGAGCGCGTATTTCACAAGTTATTGAAGTGTCAGTAATTTATCGGAACCCGTGAAGGTGTCAGAGACGGCTTTAACACAATACTCTCTGCAGTCTCCACTCTCTGGACAATAAAGAACAGGATTTATGAAATGCTAAGAGAATCAATCAATAGGCAATGATATTTCTCCTGCTGACAAAACACGTTAGAGGAGAATTCAATCAAAGTTTGACGGAGTTGCTTTGTCATTTTGTTGGACTTGCCCTACAACCCAGCAGTGTTTCATAAACCAGTACACACTAAAACTGCAGAGAAACAACCACATAACTCGCGGAGGGGGGAATGAGGTCAACAGCTTTTGGCATTGGTGTTAAAGCCACAATCCACAATTCTCCAACCTTATACTTTATCTTCTAAGTTTTTACTTTTTGTTTGGTATATGGAGTTGACAGACTGCTACGGCCTTTTGCAAGGCTTTTATCACTTCTACACATGATAGTTATCCTTACATTTTAAGTTGATCTCAACAATAATATTGATGTTTTGAGTGTCCCCACATCTGTTTTGTTAAGAGAAAGACGTTACATCACAACATCGTGTCCAGTCACTGCTTGCCACAAAGTAGAGGTAATTTCCTGGAAAGGTCTACTTAAGAGGCAAGCAAAGTAATAAAATTTACATTTTAAGGACATTACACAAAGAGTAAATGAGTCCAACAACATTGTGGCATCTGTAGAATCAGGTTTGGCCTCATGTTTGTTTGACCTTACGTGACCTTTAAACCATTGTTGGGAGTGTGCGCTTGAGCCCTTCATTTTCTGTGTGCATCACATGTTGCCCCTATAGCATCTATGTTCATTACATTCCCCCGATGTCTGAGCTGACATCATTGTTCCGTTTCAACACAAATTGGTTTGGACCGGACGAGGCAGCCGTCACAGTTCATATCAGTCCCTGCTTTTGGCCTGGCGGTGTATCCTTACACATGCATCATTATCTCACGTAAACAGTGGAAATGCGAGACCGCCGAGGGAACGAACGCCATTCAAGGCAACAAAGCGAGGGCTGAGTGAAAAGATCCTGGTCGGTGACGCTCTCGTTTAGCGTCAATTAAAGAAAACAACAAGCAGAGCTGTTTCTGAAGGCAGCTGGATTCAATGTGTTTATTTATACTGAAGCAAATATGTATGCTTGAAGGAATGCATGCAACCAAGGATGTTTCAATCAGAACATGAAGGGAACAGAAGGGTAAAAATGTCCCTCACATCGAGACGTACTTGAGTCGAGCTTGCACATAAAGCCCTCCCCGCTTCTATCTCTGTCTCTTTATCCCTTTATGTTCCTCTGTCTCTCTTCCTCTCTCAAACATAGTAGCTCCACTGTGCAGCTTTGCACTGAGTCCCTTTCGTATGCAGTGCAGGGGCCCCAGTGAGGGCCTTCCCTTGGCTCTCGAACTAAACAGAGAAGATGGTGTTATCACAATGCTGCCAGGAGGTTGTCAGCTCGTATTGGGCCGGGCTGACAGAGTGGCCGGTTTGCGGATGCGTGTCGATGCCAGGCTCCCAGCGCCTTCCCTCCGTGGACATCTGCTGTGTGTGGAAAAGCTGTGGAGTTTGTCTGTGGTTGCATCTTAATCCTCCATCTCTTCGGCTCCAGCCATGCCTGGCCGAGCAAACCAGCAGCTCTGCTCGCCTTGCTTGTATTAATTGCCCTTGCCTGGCTCGCTGTTTGCTTCTGATTACACTCATTAATTTCAATTCCCCAGGAAGCCACCACCACCGTAGCTGCCTGTAGACAGGCACACATACACAGAAATACACAGACTCATTCCCACATACATGCATGGGCAGGCA